CAAGAGAGGGAATGGTTTACCATCAATGGGCAGTTTATGAACCTGTACCTCCCTCCATACTCGCCTTTCCTGAATCCAATTGAGGAGTTTTTTTTCCTCTTGGAGATGGAAAGTGTATGATAGACAGCCCTACATCTGAGTAAATCTGCTGCAAGCCATGAATTTAGCCTGTGGTAATATAGGTGAGGAATCATGTCAAGGCGGGATACGGCACACCAGAGGCTTTTCCCCCCGTTGCCTCAGGAGGGAAAATATTGCATGTGATGTCGATGAAGTGCTGTGGCCTGACCCAGCCCAAAGACAAGACGAGGCCCATTGATGACATATTTAGTCCTTTGATGTTTTTCATTGTATGTTTTTATTTCACTGTCATTGAACACTGTAGCACAATGGTCTGCAGGCTGTATATGGTACAATAAACAAATTGTATGGCCCTGAACATTGTGCTTTCTATTTATTGGTGTATTGTTTACTGACTGCTTGATAGTCTGTGTAATTGTGAGCAATTTGTTTATCATTTGAGAGTAGTGTTTGATTTTGAGCACAGGTAAAACTGTTTTGAAGCAAGAGTTTGATTTTGCAAGAGGAATGAGAGGTTTTGTAAATCGTGCTTGAAGCTGACGTTTTGTGTTTAATGTTTTGAGAAAAGGGAGCAATGTTTCAGGAATTGTGCTTTAGCAATTGAGAAAAACTGTAATGACTTAAGCCTTTTTGGTTCAGTGTTACACTTACTACAGACAGAATATATGTGTGTCGTAAAATATTTCAGAATATTGTATCTATACTCTGAACACACAAATACATGGTAAAAATTTTTATTTTTCCCGCAAAACATTGTACATAATGTGTGTCCCATTCCCAACCAACACAAAGTTGCACACATACAACAGAATATTTTACTGTATACAGTTACAGTAAAACAATAAAACTATGCTGCATCCTCTCCTCTGTTGCGGTCTGGCCAAAGCACCTCATCCACATCACAAGCAATGTTTTTCCTGGCCAAGCAGTGGGTGAAATATCTCCTAGCATGGCAATTCCAGCCATGAAAAGAATCAGCTGCTATATCTCCAAATGCATCCTCCATAGCTTGGAGAAGAGGTATACGGGTTTGTGGCTGTCGGTCATACACCTTCCATCTCCATGCAGAAAACAATTCCTCAATGGGATTGAGGAATGGAGAATATGGAGGGAGCTAAACAACTAAAAAGCGTGGGTGGTCAGTGAACCAGTTACGAACCACAGCAGCCCGGTGAAAACTTACGTTGTCCCAAATGACAAGGTACCTGGGCTGTTCTGGGCCATCTACCTGATTTGGTGGAATGAGTGTGTGGTGTAGGGTGTCCAGGAATGTGATCAGATGGGCGGAGTTGTAGGGGCCAAGGGTAGCATGGTGATGGATGATGCCATGGTAGCTAAGCACTGCACACATTGTGATGTTCCCTTACTCTCACTCCTCTGCCTCTGCCTCTGTTTCCAATGATGGCATACTCCATAACAGAAGAGCTCACCTGTTGCCCTTTTATGCTAAAGCTCTGATTGCTGATTGTAAAACTGTGTGATGGGTGTTTGCCCCTGTGATGAGTCAGTGTGCATATTTGAATAGCAGTGTGTTCCTTGTGAAAGCAAGATATTTTCTGAATGAACGTTGTGCTAACAGCAGAGGATTGTGTGGTGTTTTGAAAAAAGTGTGTTTTAGATTTGTAATTTGAGTTCAAAGCAGGAATTGTGCTTGTAGTTTAGCAGAATGGGTTAAGGGGGTTGGTGAATTGGTTACATGTTGTGGTAATTGTGTCTCAAGTACCAGAAAATGTGTGTAAACAATTGAGAAAAACTGTAACAGCACTAGTGGGTAGTTTTGGACACAACTTGATGGTAATTTCATTACTTGTTTTATTATCATTTCAGCAACAAAGTAGCACAACCAGTGACCAGTGCTCCCAGTTAGGAAGCCATGGTCGACGACGCAGTGCTCACTGTCCCAACTCTGCTGTTGTTTGCACACTTGTTTACTATGCACTAGAGGCTTGCATGCATTTCCATCGAGTACACTCCATTGTGGACCGTAGGCACTACATTGTGGCTGCTGGGCTGAGGCTGAGACCTGTGAACTTTGACCTCTTCACTTTGATTACTACAATAAGATTTTAGGAGGTTATGAAAGAATTAAGGTCATTTGTTTATTTTAGGCTTGCCCCTCTTTTAATTAGAGCACACCCCATATATTAAGTCCATGGTTTTTTTTTTTTTTGGCACTTTACCCCAAATCTGTGATTTATTGGTTAGGTCTGTGGGTGTAATTTGAATGTAGGAAAAGGGTATCCCCCATTCTTAGCCTCTTACCTGAGCATTTTATACACCTTTAACAGACACGTTGTTTGTGGGAGGTTATGTGTGAAAGATGGACACCGCTGCCTCTTGAAGAGCCGAACCTGTGATGTTACAGGTTTGATGTGAGCGAGGAGCTAAAAGAGGGGTTCAACCAACACCTGCCCACTACTCCACGCAGACATGTGCAGCCACAGGGTGCAGCTGCGCTGAAACCGCTCAATGAACAGGCTCATTTAAAAATACACCAGTTGTTATGCAAATGACGAGATGCATAGCGTTTCCCTTGATGCATAAAACACACTCTAAATGAGGCTATGTCTCTAAAATATAAGGTTTCAAGTCTGACTTGGATAGTATGCCTGCGTTTGACCATTTCTGTCTCTATTTGTGTCAAAAAGGGTTACAAAAAGAGGAAGAAAATTATGCTAAACTATAAAATAACCTGCATTTATGACCACTATACAAATCTCGTAGTGAACCTTTTACTTCTGTCTAAGGACTCTCCCACAGTCCCCAATCCATTTGGCTCTTTGTTGACCTTGGTAGTGTACACAAAGTAAAGGTTTTTATTATAAAGCCAGCTGACTATATTAATAATAATAAATAAATAAATAAATAAATATAACTAAAATAGGCAATAAATAAATAAATACAAGACAAAAACATCTAATGGCAGAAAAATGATGAGAAACTGGCATTTTAGACAGGAAGTGACATGATGGGCGATTAGTAATTCAAAATAAAATATTCTTGTTATTACTTTGAGTTCTGGGTATACATTTGCTTCAAAGTTTGATTTAAGCTCTTTAATCCACCCAGCCACTGAGCATTCATAAGCACATTAGTGACCCAGATAAAAGTATTACCATGGTTCTGATCCTATCTGGATTATTGCTTCATGAAACAAAAAGTACATTTTCATAATTTCTCATAATCTTCTAACTCATTCAGAAATTTTCAGATTTTCATTTTATAGCAAATATCCAGAATGTCGTGTTCGTGTTCAGCTGGAAACTTTTGGCTTTTGAAAAGATAGTAATGAGATGAGACTTAAATGCATAATAGCAGATTTATTTCATGGCTTCAAGGGGGTCAGCTGTACTTTGGACGGAGTCATCCTGCAGCAGAGTGCCAAACAATATGAGAAAGCTGATGGAGCTGGGAGGGTCTAAAAGTCTATTAGCAATGAAGATGTCGTCCATGCAGAAATGCTCTGGAAGTTTGCAGTCATGATGCTGAAAAGTTGCTTCCTAGATGGGGTGTTTTTGCCTGAAAGGGCAAGAACCTATCCTAATGATAGATGGACAAGTATCTCATTTTCACCAAGAATCAGCTTTAATTCTTTTGAAATATTTTAGTATTTAGTCAATACATTAAAAAAGGGATGCTACTGTTTTAAGCTGTTGCATCAATTTCAACTTTTGTTAAAAGTGCTATCGATTAAAGTTTATTTATACCGCATATTGTATTAAAAATACTTTTTCAAACAAATTATTTCAAGATAATAATAAAAATAAACAGACTTAAAGCTACGATAAACATCCCAAAGGCTTCTTCTGAAGTCTTATTAAATTAATAAAGATTTTTACATAAAAATCATGAGTTTAGTCCATTTTTCAAGGGAATCCACCTTATTAGTGTCAGAAAATCCAAGCTGATCAAAGGGTCCTGTCTCCTTTTGCTGTTCATAAAGTCTGAGCTGCTGCTGATCATTTCTGGTTATGTGAATAAAGGCCGTGAGTTGATTGCAAAGATGTCAAAACCCGTTAAAAAGTCAGAAATACACTTATGTCACCAAGGTATGTAAATAAAAATTTAAATAGTAGCAAATCAATCAAGAAATAATGACATAGTGTGGTTTATTATTAACATTAGCGTTTATTATTATTATTATTATTGTTGTTGTTGTTGTTGTTATTTAATTATTGGAAATGGAAAGATGTTGAGGGTTAGGGCAATGAAAAGCCTTGAGCTTCTCCCTATTCCCCTTTAAGGATCAAAGAGGAATCTCTAAATCCTCTAAATAAGACATTATTATTTTGTATTTGATTTTAATTTGTTTGAATGGTCTGAAGTGAATAAATAAATTATTATTATAAAATTCTCAATCCTGACACTCATTTTACCATATAATTCTCTACACATTTGAGTGTGCGTTACATATAGTTTTCTTTCCTCTTTTAGGGTGTTGTTTACAATCGTTGTTGACTTGTTTAGAATTTCACAATCAAAGGAATTAGTCCAGTTATTTTGTTTATTCTGTGTAGCTAATGCACAAATGATCATGTGGAATTTTCTTGCTATAGACATTTGAAGTGGAGCTAACAGCCCAGCTCCTTCACTATTCTAGAAAAAAAAATTACATTTCTCTGTCATTGTGAATTTTTTTAAAGCAAAGCCTAGTGTTGTCTCATTGGCTGGATGACCACAAACATGTGCTATGAGTTCCAAAAATAAGCCACAAGAAGGAAAACTTTATTACGTTGCGCCCTCTAGTGGCTCAATTTCAACAAGAACTTTTCAAACGCTGTGTGAATCTTCATCTAAAAGACCAGCCCACAAGACCGCAGTTCATTGGTCATTAGCTCATGTACAAGTTTCTGATTGGTCAGAAGGATTTCCGTCAGCTGTCCCGGAAGCTAATACAAAACATGAGCTATTACGTAAGTAACCTCCAGCCCTCAGTAGGTATCGTCTCACTCTCAGCTAATATTTATTATTGAATAAAGAGTCAGTCTGGGAGAAAAGCAGCTACGTTTAAATTTAAACAGTCTGTAGAAATGCCGACGTCTCCAGTCAAAGCGCGGATTCCGCTCACCAGTTTCGGTCATCTGATAACAGAAGTGAAGGTAGGCTAAATTGGGATTAAATTAAACATTTCATTAGACAACAAACAGGCTATAATGGGATTAACGTGCTATAGAGCAAAGCAATTCATTTGCGGTTAAACAAGCTAATTTAATAATCAGGCGTATCCATAATTTAGTGATTCCCCCCCCCCCCCCCCCATTAAATAGGCATTCCGCTTCTCATTAGCTAAATATGCTATTTTAATTTGTTTTTTAATTTAACGTGGAGCTTTTTTTTTTGATAATTTATTTTTTTGATTTTAAATCCCATCTACAGAATATAAGCAAAAATGTCTTCATTTCTGCATATTTTCCTCCAAATATATTTATTTCAGCTGCTCATTAAAGCTCCTTCTAATTGTAGATTTTACTACTGCCATTTATGGACAATGATTCATTTAAGTCACTCAACATGGCTAACTTAAGGGGTAAACACATCATATTTTATTACCTTAGAGAGAATTTGACTAACTAGTTTTAAATAGTATTTAGTTAGTAATAACTTGTCACTAAGAACCAGTTTGTTTTAATGTATTTAGTTGCAGTGATAACAAGATAAACAGAAGAATTTTTTTTACTTCTACCTGTTCAACAGAATGTTTTAATATAAATGTTATTTTATTTATTTCTTATTTTTTGGTGTGGAAAAGATGTTCCAAATGCATTTAGTAATCCTGATCATTTATTTACCTTTTGTCAATAACATCAGCAGTTTAACAAATTATCAATCTCCCAAAAATATAGAGTTTATAGGTGGAGCATTACTGACAAACACCACTTTAAAATAATGAGGCAATTAATTATTTGTATTAAAGTCCTCATTGTGGTGAAGAGCCTCGTTAATACCAACAAAAGCGCATTTAATAATTTATCTTCAAGAGAAACTCAATAGATAACAAATCATTGTCTAAATGAAGGTTGCAATTATTATTATGGCCACTTGAGGGGAGTACAGCAACTAATGCAGCAGGACTTCATGCGACCCTGACTAGTCCTGTAGATTACAGCAATATTAGCTATTTATATGAATTTTTCAGTTTAAAGTTACTCTTTATCACATAGATATCCTAGAGCCTGGATGGCTTCCAGCTTTTCAAGCTTCAACAAGGAAAAAAACAAAGGTCAGTGTTTTTAGCATGAATGTTAATCATGCCCCACAGCAGGAAATTTACCTCTCTTCTCTGGTGCCCATTAAGGATCTGATCACTGATCTGGGCATGAATTTGGACATGTCACTTAAGCTAGAGGCTCATATAAATGCTTTTTTCCATTTTCGCTGCCTATCCAGGATCATGCCACCAGTGTCGCATGCACTCTTGGAGACAGTAGTCCATGCTTCTTTTTTTTTTTTTTACTTTACTCTCTTTACTCAGGAGTTAGCAAGGCTGCACCAGCTTGCACAAAATGCTGCAGCTAGATTTGTGACAGCCACCAGAATGCTGGGAAATATCACACCTGTCTTAGCTCATCTACACTGGCTTCCAGTTTATTTTAGAGTATGTCTTACAGCAATCCTCATCCTAACCCCGGCTTTCCACGGGAGCCGTCAGCAGCACGTTACTGCAGCAGCACGTCATAGCTGCTGATAGGAACCGCTGTGGTCAACAGAACCTTTTCCACTGGAGCCGTCGGCAGCCGTCAGCAGCGCGAGTCGGCCGCGTCTCAGGAGCAGCATGTCGCGGCCTTTACGCGCCGGTTCTATTTTCTACGCGCGACGCCTCTGAAACGGGTCACCCCGGCTTTCCACGGGAGCCGTCAGCAGCACATTACTGCAGCAGCACGTCATAGCTGCTGATAGGAACCGCTGTGGTCAACAGAACCTTTTCCACCGGAGCCGTCAGCAGCGTGAGTCGGCCGCGTCTCAGGAGCAGCATGTCGCGGCCTTTACGCGCCGGTTCTATTTTCTACGCGCGACGCCTCTGAAACGGGTCAAGTTCGACATTTTTGGGGAAGGAAAGGCAGGAAATCGGACGCGGAAATGGAGAGAATCTACCGAGATTTTCAGAATAAAGAACGTACTGCCTTCCGGTTGCCTGCCTTCAGGTTACTAACTGTGCGTCCCCGTGAGAAGTTATCACCTAGCTAGCGGTCTCCTTTGTTTTTCAGGTCCGTATTGGCGATTATAAAACGGACAGAACATAAAACACAAACCTTGTTGTAATTTTCTCCTGCTTGTTGTTGTGTTTACTGACGAAGTCACTCGTGTGACTTCGTGCTCTGTCGGTGACAGCTGCTCCCCTGCTGCTTCGTGTCTCGTGGGAAGGGCCAAGCAGCAGCTTACGCGAGCAAGACGTGCTGCTGCAGTAACGTGCTGCTGACGGCTCCCGTGGAAACCCGGGGTCAAGTTCGACATTTTTGGGGAAGGAAAGACAGGAAATCGGACGCGGAAATGGAGAGAAGCTACAGAGATTTTCAGAATAAAGAACGTGCTGCCTTCCGGTTGCTTTACTTTTAAAAAATGTTACTAACTGTGCGTCCCCGTGAGAAGTTATCACCTAGCTAGCGTTCTCCTTTGTTTTTCAGGTCCGTATTGGCGATTATAAAACGGACAGAACATAAAACACAAACCATGTTGTAGTTTTCTCCTGCTTGTTGTTGTGTTTACTGATGAAGTCACTCGTGTGACTTCGTGCTCTGCCGGTGACAGCTGCTCCCCTGCTGCTTCGCGTCTCGTGGGAAGGGCCAAGCAGCAGCTTACGCGAGCAAGACGTGCTGCTGCAGTAACGTGCTGCTGACGGCTCCCGTGGAAACCCGGGGTAACCCGGCTTTCCACGGGAGCCGTCAGCAGCACGTTACTGCAGCAGCACGTCACAGCTGCTGATAGGAACCGCTGTGGTCAACAGAACCTTTTCCACCGGAGGCGTCAGCAGCCGTCAGCAGCGCGAGTCGGCCGCGTCTCAGGAGCAGCATGTCGCGGCCTTTACGCGCCGGTTCTATTTTCTACGCGCGACGCCTCTGAAACGGGTCAAGTTCAACATTTTTGGGGAAGGAAAGACAGGAAATCGAACGCGGAAATGGAGAGAAGCTCCCGAGATTTTCAGAATAAAGAACGTACTGCTTTCCGGTTGCTTTACTTTTAAAAAAGGTTACTAACTGTGCGTCCCCGTGAGAAGTTATCACCTAGCTAGCGGTCTCCTTTGTTTTTCAGGTCCGTATTGGCGATTATAAAACGGACAGAACATAAAACACAAACCATGTTGTAGTTTTCTCCTGCTTGTTGTTGTGTTTACTGACGAAGTCACTCGTGTGACTTCGTGCTCGGTCGGTGACAGCTGCTCCCTGCTGCTTCGCGTCTCGTAGGAAGGGCCAAGCAGCAGCTTACGCGAGCAAGACGTGCTGCTGCAGTAACGTGCTGCTGACGGCTCCCGTGGAAACCCGGGGTGAGCAAGCATGTAGTGACAGTGGAGACAAAATCTCCCTTTTAACAGGAAGAAACCTCCAGGGGATCCTGGCTCAGTTTAAGCAGCCATCTGCCATGACTGGAGATTCAGAAGACAGAGCAGACACACACACACCCACAAACCCCTACACACAACATATACCAATTAGTGTTTCTATGGCGATATTGTGATTTCTTTGTAGATATTCTATTTAGTAAAATAAACGTATTATCTTTATCTGAGTGAATCTATAATTAGTTCAACAGGTGAACCAGTAGTAGCACATTCCATGTTGAAGAAAGTAAAATGTTATCAGGAGATGGAGAATGTTACGTGGTTAGTGCCAGTCGATGGCCCCCTCCATGTGTTCACCACAGCTCATCTAGTCGATCCACGTGTAAAAAGCTTGACAAGAAGAGGCGGGGCTTTCTTGATGTTGGTCCCTAAGCTGTGAAATAGCCTTCCACTCAGAAAAACACCTTTACTGCTGGTTTTCAAGAGCCAGATGAAGACTCACTTTTATACTGTGGTGTAGGGCTGGGCATTGGGCAATATGGCCTAAAATCAATGTCACGATATGTTGAGGATTTCACCTTGATAACGATAAATGGACAAAAGCTACAGTTATGCACAGAAACAAAAGTTGTCCACTAGATGGGGCTGTCGCATGTATACAGCTCCTTAAAGGGACATGAATGTTGCTAACCTACACACATCTATCCATTTTTTTATTATCAAATTTATGGGAAAAATTATCTTAAGAGTCAGAAATTTCGATAACGATACATTTTCGATTTATTGCCCAGCCCTACTGTGTTGTTCCCTCAGCATACCGTTTATCTAGCGATGCACGATATATTGGTATCAATATCGTTATCGGCCGGTGTTAGTCATTTTTTTTACATATCGGTATCGGTCCAATAAATAAAACTGGGCCGATATTAACAACCGATATTTTTTTCCATCTTGTTTCCATTTGTTTATCTGTTTCAGAGGTTGGGGTGGGGGGTGTATTTGTTTAGTCATGTGACAGTGATTATAATAATCTCAGAAGCGTAATTGTGTGTGGTATGTGTACTTAATAATGTAAATCCAGCTTTAATAATTTTCATTCTATATCAAATCTGCTGATTTTTGAAGCATCAATGTCAGTTTATCAGCATTGGCAAATATCGGTTGTTGGCCATAACAGTGATATTAACATCGGATATCGGTATCAGCCCAAATATTTCATATCGGTGCATCACTATACGTTTTTAGATACCTAAGCCATATTTGATCCTGTTTTCTTCTGTTGCTTTACTTTGCTTTACCGTATCTCTTGCTTTTGTCTCATGCATTTATTTGTCTTTATGTATATCTTTGTTGGCCCTTGCAGGGGTCACTGATGTTTTCATGTGCTGTGCAGCTGTTCAGTGCACTCCTGGTCAATGGAAAGTGCTTGTGAAATAAAGTTGATGATGATGAAGATATTTCCTGCAGCACACATTCTTCAGTCTTTAATGTGTCTTTTGTTGAAACACTTCAGATCATTATGAGTCATGTCTGCAAAAAGCATATCTGGAACATAGCTATCCATCTTTAGTGTCAGAGCAGAGAGGAGATAACACAACCGAGTGTTCTGACTCCCAAGTCGTGCGTGCGTGCGTGCGTGCGTGTGTGTGTGTGTGTGTGTGTGTGTGTGTGTGTGTGTGTTTCCACACAAACCAGTTTGTCACTGCATGTTGCAGCGTGTGAATGGATTGCTACTTGAATGACAAAAAAGAAAGAGATGTATTTGTATAATTGCCCGTCCGTGTGTGTGCTATTGCAGTACTCTATTCTTCTGTGTAAATGTTGGCAGAGCCTTCTGTCTGAACTGGGATTGTTGATTATTTTCAACATCTGAAGATGGGTTCCCATCATTTAATGTGTTGCTTTCACATTCACTATGACTGGATGAGTGAGCCCTGTGCGTGACTGCTGATCTGTTGGCACACAGCTTTCTTTTACTTTTCTTATTTTTTCCGCAACAACATGTCATTGAAGTGTGTTGGTGCGTTTCAGAAGCAGCTGTTTGGGATTAAGGCCCCGTCGTCGGTGCAGCTGACCGGTTGGAGGAAACACTTCAACAGCTACAGTCTGCAGGGTCGCAGAAATGTAAAAACACACTCACACAGATTTCTAAATGTCTTAACTGATCACACCCCAGCAGTCAGACTGTCTGTCTCTTGCAGTACGTCCTGGCTACCTATGGTCTCCTGGTGGTAACGGCGGCCATCTACGTGATGCACAAGCGAAACAGCGAAGAAAGACAGACACCTGCTTCCTCAACCTGATCCACAGATGTTACTGTTAATTTGTGAAGTGAAAGAAAGTTGTAGACCTAAAGCTGTAGCTTTTTAATAAAGAATTAGATGATATTTGGTCACTATTCATTGCTGCTAGTCCTTAAGTCAAAGCTATGGTCTTAGAATGAAACTGCCATTAAAGGCCTTCAAAGAAAACCATAAATAGAAGAAAGGTCGTATCAACGGTGTGCACAGCGGATGTGGTGATTTCTTTTTAATTCATGGGATTTGCATCACTTGTGGTCAGGCAGAAACTGAGCTGGAGCCAGTTCTCCAGAAGAGGATGAAGTGTTCGTCTGAAAAACTGCCAGATGAAACCTGCAGCAGAGTAAAAAGGAACTCAAACAGAAAGCCCGATGACCCACTTAGACTCCTGTGGTAAAGTTTCACTCGCACACCTCAGGGGACTATTTGCACATACTTCATGAACTCATTTTCTTGTTTTGTTCTGGCGTAAAGCATATTTCCTTACACAAAACCTTTTAAACAGTTACATTTAAGGAAGTGTAAAACTTACTGATTGCAGACGGTTTGTGTTTTAATACATCTAATAGATTAAAATAAGTTCTTTTAAATTCACCCAGACTGCTCCGTCAGTGATAAATCTTGACTAATTAAAAATAATCTTTTTTTATTATAGAAACTTGCTTTCTGATTATCTTCCATTTATCTTGAATCTGAAGCAGAAACACGAGTGGGACTAAACTATTATTTAATCACATTTAACGCTTATTCAGTTATTCCTGCACATAAAATCCCTTAAATTTGCATTTTGGGGGTTTATTGTAAAAATAATCATAACTGTATTTATGAGGAAGTCTCCACGCGCTTGCTGGGAGATCACGTGATTTATGGGAATCAGCTCGCGGAGAAAGAGAAAGTGAAAGCATTTTGAACACCTGATGCTCTCGGACCGACTCCGCCTTCTGAAGAGCTTCTAGACACTTCTGGTGGGGTTTGGACGCAAAGGAGCTGCAGAGGGAGGAGCTGCTGGATCTACCTGCAGTAAGTAGGGTTCGGATTATTTACTACATTTATTTATTCATGCAGGAGCTTAACTCTGACGTGTTTTTATGTGTTATACTCACATTTGGACTCAAACATGAGACTAAATTAAATGTGAAGGATCTGAATGAATTAGAAAATGACTGAATGAATTAACTCACCTCTATAGAAATAATCCTCACGTTGTCTGCACGATCTGTGACGCCTTGTTAATTTTGTTTGACAACATTAAAGTATGCCTCTCCCACCCGCAACAAAAAAAATGTGAAGAAGAAAAGGGAACAGCTGCTTTGGTAACTCTACAACCCCCTTCATCAGAGGAAAAATGTCAGCACTTTAAAGTATTTTTTATTCATAATTCAAACTAAACCTCGTGATCTTTGTTTTATCCTGAAGTCTAGTTCAGATGAAATCAGATGTGACCAACTATGACATCCAAGAAAATTCACTAATCTGCTTAGTTTAAAAGATGCAACAAAAGTGAAACCAAAATAAAATTCAATATTAAAAATATTATAAATCTACCTGCACATTAATGCATTAGTTTAAATGCATTGCATTTGTTCATATTTTGCATTCATGTGTAATTTGCAACTTTTTTGCACTCACCCAGTCTTTATTGCTGACTCAGGAACATGTTCCTTTACATTTGAATAAAACATCTGACAAAGAACTAAACTGTTTACATATCTATTGTTTATTTGCATGAAACATGCAGTTTTTCTTTTCTTTTACTAAACTAGTACATCTCAAAATATGAGATATTTTCATTTGACTCCACAAAGGAAAACCACAGATTTTCACATTTTCTGCCTCCACCCCTTTTTTTCCAAGAAAGTGAAAGTGTTTAGATGCAATTAACGGTTATGGCGCCCTTTGATGACAAACAAAAGGATCTGACACAAACTTGGGTTTTTCACAGGACCCGGACTGGTTTTAGCTGCAGAGTGGGACTTCTCAGAGCTATTCAGTCTCTGAAATGCTGAACACATGAGATGTTATACCATAGGGGAAAATATTTTTGCAAAAAGAACGTCACAAAAGTGTAGTTACAAGATACAGAATACAGCTAAATGAAATAAACATAGCTTGTCTGAACTTAAAAAGTTTCAGATGCGTTTTAATTCAAAACAATAAATAGTTTATATAAATTAATACATCATAGAAGAACATATAAAACTTCATGTTTGGAGCAATTCATTCAGTGTTTCGGGTCCAGAAGTGATATTAATGTCTAGCTTTATCTTTGTATTTGTCTTGTCATCCTAATTTAATTGTTTTTGGATGTCGTTTATGGCTTTATCAGATTACCTCTTTATCGTGTTCAAATTTAAATCTGTTGTTTTGTTAAAAGTAAAAGTTAAGATGAACCAGGTGAAACCAAAAGACGGGGATCACGGCGTAAAAAGCTAAATGTTTGATGATGTTTTAAATGATGTTGAGTGATCGTGTTTCATTCTTTTTGTGTTTCAGCTCCGATGACGCCTCACTGAGTTCTGTGGTCGTCCCTGATAAAATAAACGCAGCATGGAGTCTGAAATACGGCCAGGGAGCCAGTGACCGAGCAGGAAAGAGTCAGCGATGGAGAATCTGCCTGTGAAGCCTGAACGAACTGGTGCCACGGGCGGCCACGAGGACGACTTTCCTTTCGAGGATGGTCAGAGACAGCTTGGACAGAACAATAGAGCATAACCAAAAACAGGACCAAACAATTGAGCCACACAGCTGGAGCCAGACCTCAGAGGAAGCAGTGGTTCCTGAACAATCACAGAACTCACAGACCATTAACGCAGAGAGCAAAGAGCCATCAGAGAGGCAGCTGGACTTTCTGCTCTGGAGCAAACTGAGCAGTGAGGAGGAGTCCAAGTCCTGGAGCCCGGTCAGTAAATTGTATTTATCTTTATTGCTGCAGGGGATGTTGACTTGCTAACATGGAACAGATGGCACCATCGACATATAAATATTGGACAACGGGTTTCCATAGACTCCAATAATAAGTTTTTGTACTAAAATAGGAGGCCACCACCGCCATTTTGACCGTGTCACAGGTTCTGTCAAGCCCAGACAATTCCATAAAAGGGAAGAGAGGTGGAGCTGGGGGCTGTAAGGCTGGGATCAACTGACGACACCCGTCGAACTAGCTACAAGCTAACCTGAAGCTAACCCAAAGCTAATGCGGAGGTGGGAGCTAAGCTAACGGAGGTAGCAACCTAGCTACAACCGGAGTTAATTGTGCACGACACCGGAGCTTCTGAGTCAGAGATACGCCGGGCTGACCGCTGGGTAAAACCGGGTGGAACACAGAGGTCTCAGAGACCTCCACAAGCCGGCAGCCGCACAGCAGACAAGCGCCGCTGCGATCTGAGATGCGCAGACCTGCCGCTGGGGAGAACCGGGTGGAAAGGTTTCCATCCCAGAGCTCCACAAGCCGGCAGCCCGCGCAGCAGACAGAAGCCGCGATCAGACAGAGATGCACCGAGCTGCGGGGAGGGGAGAACGGGTGGAAAACATCGGTCTCCCGAGAGCTCCACAAGCCGATAGTGGGAACCCAGCTCCACCAACATGTTATATTTCAAGCCATTTTCTAAAGTGCAGCATTATGTTAAATGCACTGGGTTTTACCCTATTACATTTAAATTTCATGGTTAAACAGTACATGTTAAAATCCAAGCTCAGCTCGGCAGTGACCTAAAATACATCAATATAATTTTACTTACCAAAAAAAATGAAGTGGAGACTCCTTGGACACTCTATTAGTGCAATTAATGCCACAGCAAGTCATTTTGTCCAACAATTGCACAAAAAATATCCAAACAAGAATACACAAACACACAGACTCAAAATCCCGGAGCAGTTTCCAAGCCAGACCGAGGCTCTACTGAGGCCTTTCCCCGGAGCTAGCTCTGTGGTCACGTGGGTCTGATGCTCATTAATTATACAGAATTTAGGCTTTTAATACACTTAAACAGAAGAGTGAGAAAAAAATTCACCCCCCTCAGAGTTGTCATGAGTATAAACTAGATCATTTAAACCAAAAATATGTTCTGGTACCAGGCTGTAAACATGTTTATTTCTGCTGTGAAATTGGTATTTTTAACATGGGAGTCAATGAGGATTTGCTCGCTTCTGACACAAGCCCCTAGTGGATGAGGGTGGAACTGCAATTTATTTCACTTCCGCATTGGACTCAATTTTAGTCCCGCATTGTGGGGGCTTGGATGGCACATGGGAGACAGGGGAAAAGAACACCAGGGTTGGATTTTTGTTCTATGTTCACAAATAATCATAACAGCAGCAAAAGCTGAAATCCTTCCTTTCATGCCAGTACCACTCTTAAATGAACACGATTGATTGTTTTCTCAATGAAACTGTGTCCGCTGGTGTAAACCCGTCAAAGGGTTAATTATTTTTAATTAGTTGCAACTTTTCTCGTAAATGATCAGTTCATTTGCTCATACATGCTATTATCACTTTACGTCAGAGTTCTGTGTCCTCTACAGCAGGCGTGAGTCTGAGATGCTCCTCCTGTTGCGTCCTTGACTTTCCTGATTGTATGGCATGGTGCAACGCTATAGCACACATGTAAATCTGAAAATGAACCTTGTGCAACAAATCTCACATACGTGTAGGGGAGCGGCAGATTAACACCACAAAGGAATTTGAAAAAGAAAAACCGTTTTAAAAAAAAGCAAATGTGTATTTTCCAACAAACTGTATTTTATGACATGATAGGTCTATAAAAGATTTTAGGAAAAATGCATTTTTTTGTTTAATTTCTATAAGATCAACATTAAAAGAAATGTTTTACAAAAAATTTGATGGTGAAATGCAGAATTCTGAACAGGCAAAGCAACAACAATAAAAATGTACATTGTAATTTATAAAAATATTATTTAGATATTATTTACACTATACGAGTGTAAGTATGATGTAATAAAATTTAGATTGTGCTTTAGATTGTTTTTAATATGCTTTTAATTTGAAAAGCAGCTTATTTTTAACATCAAATGTGAGGTTTTGAGGGCATGTTTGTTTAGTCAAGGCTCAGCTTGATTTATCTGCATTTAGTTGTGGACTTTGAATTTAAACCAAGAACCTTTCGAGCTTTCGATTTATTGATTTAGGAGCTCAGAGCCATGTTTTTACTCACTGTGTTTATATTACTGTCGGCAGTTAAAAAAAAAAACAGAAGAATATCCCAGAGAGTCAAATGATAGAATTAGTGCTTTTATGTTAGTCAAAGTGAAAGTAGAAATGATGCTTGAACAGCATTGCAGAGGTCATCTTGTTGGTTAGGTCACGGGAAGTTGTTGCAGCATTCCTCTGTGCTGTTTCTGGAAAAGAACATGACAAAGTAGAATGGAAGTTAATTAGAAAGCCTTCAGTCTTAAAGAAGCTGATGACTTGCTGCTCAAGTGTGTGTAGTTCACCCCTTGGAGCATCTTCACCCTCCTTGCTACCTGCTGAGACCCATGCATAGGTGCATATCTAGTCTCAGGACCAGATATCATCAAATCCTCCATTCTTGAATTTTGTTCCAACTCACCAACCCTCCTTTTGCTCACTCAAAAAGCTCTGGTGCTCCTGTTTCAGGAAGTAGAAATCACCCTAGTGACCTTAGACAGATGATGGAGTTGTGGCTACTTTGATCAAATAATGAAGATAAGTTTGACCTTTTAAGGCTATAAAGATAATTGAAAAGGAGTTCACTGCTTGGTTAAGATTCGTTTGTAATAATTAAAATATGATCATGAATTTATGCTCATTTTTTCTGTGTGATTTGTTAATAGCCTCAGAATATGATGGCTGTTTCTTTAGTTGTGTTTCAATCAATAATCTTTGCTTTAGTTTAAATGTGGACTGCAGGTAATTGTATTTATTTAGAATTAAATCAACTGAATGAGACTAGAGAACATTTGGTATCACAGCTTTCATCGATACAACAGTTTTCGTTCCTCTCTCAGTACAGAAGTGAAAATCTATCTACATGACAGCCTCGGTGTTCCTCAGGTTGCTCGCTTTGGATCCAAATTCAAATGTTTGGGTTAGGGTTACATTTTTCACCATATTAGTTGTAAAACTAGTTACTAGGAAACTAAAACACGCTTTAATACATTTTCCAAGTTACATTTGCACAACTCTGAATAAAAACAATAATGCTAATATATTTGTATTTTCTCTCATTGCTGATTGTTTCTGTTTATGTCTGCTGTAGCCTCTCACCGGAGCCGACGCCAACAGCTTGCCCACGCACCTCCGCACATTTAGCAGTGCTGCAGAGTATCAGCTGGTGAAACGCACCTACCAGCAGCTCCAACACAGCGGTTACTACTGGGGTCCGATGACCATGGAGGAGGCACATGAAATACTCACGCAGTTACCACAGGGGACGTTCCTCATCAGGTACTTTTCCTTTAATCTGTTAAGTATTTTTCACCCATGAAATGTTGTCTAAAAGGCTTTACAAATGATCAAACTTTCTTCTTTGACTTAACCCCGGTTTCACACATCAGAGGCGTGGAGCGGCAGCGGAAGGTCACTGCTTCAAATACAATCCATTATAGTCTAGAGCAGGGGTTCCCATTTCCAGGGTCGCGACGCCCCTGCTGGGTCGCGAAACAAGGCTCTTACGGCAGCTCAATTTGCGACCGACGGGTTACTTTGCAGCACTGTGGTAAACACGTTTCTTCTGAACAACTCAAATATTCCAAAAGTTTTACGGTAATATGGTTTATATGCAACATGAAGCGCTGGTTAACACAGATTAGAGACAACGAACAGAAGCCAACTGATCATGCAGCAGCAGACACAGAGAACAGCGGGGAGCCACCTTCCACATCTGTGGCAGGAGGAGGAGCCCATAAGTTGCGGTGTAAGGCGCAGCTGAATCAGCCTTTGCCTAAATTTCGCAGGTATCGAGAGGAATATATCCAGTATGGATTTACGTGCACTGTTAAAAACGAAATACAATACCCCCAATGTGTATTGTGCACTGAGTTGCTTGCAAATGAGAGCTTTAAGCCTGCAAAAATGCTCCGACATTTGAAAACTAAGCACTCCTCATTTGCAGCTAAACCAGCAGACTTCTTCCGTCGAGAAGAGAGAGCATTTCAAAGCCAAAAGAAAGTTATGACCAACCAGAAAACAATCTCTGCAAAAGCTCAAAAGGCATCATATGAGGTGGCATATTTAATTGCACAGGCAAAAAAACCGCACACAATCGGAGAGATCCTAATAAAACCTGCTGCCATTGCAATGAGCCAAATAATGCATGGAGACAAACAAGCCCAGGAGCTGAAAGCGGTCCCGCTGTCTGATGGGACAATATCCCGGCGCATCACAGAGATGGTGCAGGACATCAAGTCTCAGTTGATTGACAGAGTCAAGAGAGGAAAATACGCTTTGCAGCTAGATTAATCCATAGATGTCGCAACCTCTGCCCAGCTGCTCGTTTTTCTCAGATACAGTTTTGATGGAAAACCACGTGACATGCTGTTTTGCACCACACTGTCAGCAAAGTGCACAGGTGAGGACATTTTCACAGAAATTGATAAAAAACTGAAAGAGGAGGGGCTGTCTTGGGATGAATGCATCAGTGTGAGCACAGATGGTGCTGCAGCAATGCTGGGGAATGATAAAGGACTTAAAGCAACAGTTGTACAGGTGGCCCCACACATAAACTTTACACACTGCATTATCCACAGAGAAGTTCTGGCGAGTAAATCGCTAGACCCAGAGCTTAAAACAGTGCTGGAGAGTGCAAATAAAATTGTCAACCACATAAAATCCCGTTCTCTGAACACAAGACTGTTTGCTGCTCTCTGCAATGAAATGGGATCAGAGCATCAAAGTCTGCTTTTCCACACAGAAGTCAGGTGGCTGTCACGGGGAAACGTTCTCTGGCGCTTGTTTGAGCTGCGGGATGAGGTGCGCCTATTTTTGTTGGAGCACGGGTCTCACCTTGCTGCCCATCTGACTGATCCTGACTGGTTAACAGGGCTAGCATACTTGGCTTGCATATTTGACAAGCTGAATGGGTTAAACACATCACTACAAGTTGAAAACGCAAACATCATGTCACTGAATGACAAAATCAATACATTCAAAAGGAAACTGGATCGGTGGTCTGCACGAGTAAAAACGGGCTGTTTTGACATGTTTCCTGAACTGGAGGAGTTCATGGAGAAAAATGATTTGTGTGTTAACACCGTTAAGGGGTTTATCACTATGCACCTTCAAACCCTCTTGGAACACTTTATCAAGTTTTTTCCTGAGGAAACAGCTCCAGAAAAATATGACTGGATAAGATGTCCATTCACCGTAACAAGCACACATCATTTGTCATCCGACATTGAGGACGCACTGGTTGAACTGTCAAGCGACCGCACCTTAAAGAGCGCTTTTAACTCAAAGATGCTTGCTGAGTTCTGGATTTCAGTTGAGAGAGAATATCCACAGCTTTCTAAGGCTGCAATTGACATTCTGATGCCGTTTGGCTCCATACCCGTGTGAAAAGACTTTCTCAACCCTCACAAATATTAAAAATAAATACAGATCACGTCTTAACGTGCAGGATGATCTTCGAGTGGCCATCTCTAAAATTAAACCCAGAATGGACTTGCTCGGCTCCAAGCATATTGCCCACCCATCTCATACAATCTGAAAATGTGAATAAGTACGGAAACAAAGTTCCTCTGTATTACATCGTTTGTGACTTTGCATGAGTTTTTTTTAATTTTATTTAATTTTTTTGCTACATTGAAATGAAAGCACTTTTCTGTTACCATTTTTTAAGATTTCATCAAGAGTTGCATTTGTTACAAACATTTGTAACCCGTTTAGGAGTTTTGTTTTAATATGTTCTGGAAATGTTTACTCAAGGGAGGCAGAGATGCATGTCCATTTGTTGCCATGGCAATGCTGTGTATGTGTGAGCGTGTGCAGGGTGGCGGACGGGAGAGAGTAAAATGAGGGAGAAAGTGTGGAGAATGTTGTGGCACTGACTTGCTGTCACTTTAGAAGCTGAAAATTAACCAAAAATCTAACTGACTGCCTTGTTCTTATACAAAAACTGCAAAGGATTGTAACATACCGTATTAAAGTTCGCACACAACAGCAAGAATGTTTTCAGAGTCGTCTTTTACAGTTTTCAAATGTAAATTCATACCATATTTACCTGTTGAGGGTTCTAAATCTGTCTATTTCAGTACACTTATTAAAGATTAAGTTCCACGTGTGTGTTTAATTATTTCACTCATCTCCAGGGGGTCGCGAGACTTTGAAACTGTTCATTTATGGGTCACGGACTGAAAAGTTTTGGGAACCCCTGGTCTAGAGAGTGTTTCAAACCAGCCGTCCCAGAAGCGGTACGCCGCATCGCTAAAAATGGAATCGGGTTCTGTTTTTGCCGCGAGCCGCTTCTGAAACACGTCAATTTCCACAGTTAACATAGGAGACAGGGACTCGCACACAGTTTCAGTGTAAAATCCACAGTAATTTTCAAAAGGAAAGTACTGCAGCGATGCAAATTCATATATATGTAGCTTACGTGTGACCAAAAGGCTTATTTACTCCCGGTGTCGTTTCAGACATGCAGCATTTTCGCTAACAGCTTCTTGCGTTTGGATAAGCTGCTACGTTTCTTTTTACGTAATCTTTTTTGTGGTGCAGATCTCCCTTTTATTACATTTAGAGTGTTGTGGGTTTTTGGTTTAGTTTAAAATATCACCTTGGGTTTGGTTTAACCACCCAGTTTAGAGTTTGGACCTTTGGAGATGCTTATTTTGGTCCAGAACCCAGTAATCTTTGCCCAGTGGGACATCCCTACTTATTTGTACTTTTGTTTTAATTCCCCACAGGCAGAATTAGTTTTATTATTCCCAACCTGTGGATGGAAAGATTTATGGTTTTTTGTAGTTGTAAATAAACCTGATCATCATTTTAACTTTTAAATCCCGTTATTGTCCCTTCCTTTTTGCACACGAGCCAAACTCCCCAGGAAGAGTCGTAACACCACTCTCCCCAGGAAGAGTCGTAACACCACTCACCTCACTCACATAAGTGACCCAAGCAAAGCAACATGGAGACACTCCGTCTCCAACCACCTCTCAGGCAGCAGCCTGCACTCCCAAGTTCTACACGTCACCAGAACATAACCAACCGCAACACAATAAAAGCAGTGTTATACAAAATGGAAGGCCTGTAGTGTTTATTCTCTTACAGTAACAATTTATCAATTTTTTGGGAGTAATTTATTAGAGATTTTTTGGTTTTTATTAACTGCAATAGAAAAATAATCATTAGATTATTCGTCTAAATAGTCATTAGAATAGTCGACTATTCGATAAAATAATCGTCAGAATAATCGTTTAAAAAAATAATCGTTTACCCCCAGCCCTAGGAAATTCCCACATTACTTTTAAAGCCTTGATCAACCAGTCTTAAATATTGTAATGGACTGACACCCTGCCCCGGGTTTACCCTGCATCACGCCCATAAACAGCTTCCTGTGACCCTTTCAGGAAGAAGTGATTAAAGACAGTTTAACTAAATGAAACTTCCTTGGATAGTTCTGGGAGTTAACTTGGTGTTTTGGTAGGCAGAAACAAAAAATTTTTTAATCTTACATAATAAACAACAGCAACATCTTAAATAGGCTAAAACCAAGAAAAACACCAGGTACATTTTTGCTATTTAAAGGGGACGTCCATCCATCCATTGTCTGAACCCCCTTTGTCCACGTAGGGTCGCGGGGGGGGGGGGGGGGGGGGGGCTGGTGCCTTTCTCCAGCGGTCTATAGACCCTTTTACTGTTTGTAAACAATATGACGTCAGCAAGAATGCGCGCGCAGCTTGGCAACAGAGAATGGTGTTGTTTCAGGCTTTATCAAGCTACGCTGCGGGGTTAACACCGGCAAATCTTGAATGTTATATTATTAAACTCACTTTAACGAATGGCAACAGACTCGCGGATCCCTGTGGCATTACGGAATGGGTGGAAGATGTAGGTGCGTGGCCAGATATCCAGTGGCCCGATATATATACGTTTTTAGTGGAGAGGCCAAGTAAGTACACACGTGAGAAGCTACGGGCATACAAATGGTTAGATGCATACAACTATGTTGTCTGTGGCCACGTACAGAAAGTAAAATATCACGACATAGACTCCGAGTTTTGCGTCTTGAAGGCAGAAGTCCTTCCTAGCCAAAGACAAGGACACAAGACTGCTATGTACGAGGCTTGGGCCATAGTAAACAAACCAGAGAACTACGTCTTCACAGCCAACTGTACCTGCATGGCAGGGTGAGTATAGCATAGGTTTCTTTTTTCAGCGTGCTCAGACTCGAGGAGTCCAATGACACCTCGCCTGTAAATAAATAGACTGCTTAAAAGCAAACCAGCAAACGCAACTTACGTTATTTAATAGAACACACGTTAACCAGCTTTCTGGTGTAATCTTAGTACATAATTACCTTACCTGATATAAAATGGGCGCTACAAACTCGAGCATTTCGGATAGTGTTTTCAGTCCAGTTTTCATCAACCCTTTTGATGGCCTGCAGCCACAGACGCCTCCGATTTTGTTGAAATGGATGTGCTCCCTTCGGAATTCTGTAAAGTTTCAGTCCAATACTTGAAGAGAAGCGATTCTGGCATCCATTCAAGCAACAACCCGACATTTCTATGTGCTGAGAACTTCAAAACAAAGGGTTTAAAACGCTGTTTTAGTATTGAGTGTGAATGAGGAAGCCTTCACTCTCGTTGCCAGGCTGCACGTGCAACTTTTGATGACGTAGGTAGTAAAAGGGTCAATGGGCAATCAGGCGGGGTACACCCTGGACAGAGAGCCAGTCCATCGCAGGGCAACACAGAGACACACAGGACAAACAAACATGCACACACACACACACACACACACCTAAGGACAATTTAGACAGACCAATTAACCTAACAGTCATGTTTTTGGACTGTGGGAGGAAGCCGGAGTACCCGGAGAGAACCCACGCATGCACAGGGAGAACACGCAAACTCCATGCAGAAAGATCCCAGGACCTTTTTGCTGCAAGGCAACAGCTCTAACCACTGAGCAGCCCTTAAAGGGGACATATTATCATAAATTTACCTTTTGCACCCTTGTGTGCTGCCATGTAGTTCTGTACTGCCTCCATAAACACTCCGTATGTGAAAAGAAAAGCATCCATTACCCCCAAATTCCACTACCTCCGCTCCGCTCCGACACGAACGCCGGAGCAAAATCGGTCCCGTTGTAGTCAATCAGAGCAATTCCACTACTGCGGCCGTGCTCCGGCAGTGCGGCGCCATGCGCCGCCCTCTGTTCCGGCGTCCGGCAAAAATAGAATCGATCCTATTTTCGCCGGACACCGGAGCACCTCCGCAGTAAATGGACAGAAATCACAACGGCCCAACAGGAAAAGGAGCAAGCACAACTTCCGTTTTTCACAATAAATCGATAAACAAAAGGCGTTTTTTGTTTCATATGCACAGGTTTAACAACTTTTAACAACTATCAATGGCGGCTGAAGTTTAAATGCACAAAAGTAAGCCATAAATACAGTTTCCACTATCAAAGTAGTCACACTTTGTTGATCCAAACACTGCTGATCTCTCAACACAAATGATGGGCAGATTAAACAGTTCATGCCGATGCTTCTCCCACACAACGGGTGTTTGGATCTAACTTCCGCGTTTATTGCTCGGACTGTATCGCAAGATCTCGAAAATCCCGCGCATGCTTGTTTGCCCACCTCAGGTCTCCGCACCGGAGCGGAGCCGTTTTAGAGCGGGTACCAAGAAAAATTGAGTTCGGAAGCGAGCGGCTGCAGAAGGCAGGGGGCGGACCGGGGCGGACCGGAGCGGAGCGGAGGTAGTGGAATTTGGGGGTTAGTCTTCTGCCAGTGTTTAGTTTTAGGAATTATGTGTCTAAAACAATTAATTTAAGAAAGTCCCAGTTTGCAAACATTCCAATCCTTTGCTATATCGAAACATATCATGTTGCAGATGAATACACTTTTCAAAACCCACATTCAATTGCAGGAAGTGACCACGTGTTGTTTTTTGTTGCAGGGACAGTGGCCAGTCAGATGTTTTCTTCACTCTGAGCTACCAAAGCGAAGACAAACCAACTAGCGTTCGGATCCAGCTGAACAACCTGCTCTTCAGTCTGTGTGGCAGCCACAGGACTTTTGCGTCACTCTTTGCCCTGCTTGCTTTTTACACCAGCTCAATCTGTAAACTGACTGAGCCCTATCGAAAGCAACGGCCCGAGCGCCTAAAGCAGATGTGCCGGAGAGCTTTAGTTTGCACGCATGGAGCTGAAAATGCAACCTCCATGCCTGGACTCAGCCCTCAACTTAAAGCGTACGTTTGTGCGTACCCTCACAGTCTATAAAACAAACGAGTGGATACCGTGTCTTTTTATGTTTGTTTTATAAAATATTCATTTATGCAGAATTTACATATTTTTGTATAACATATATAAAAAACAGGCAGTTTTGACATATTTAATTTACAGACTTTGTCAGTTTTTACTTGTTGTCATTGATTTTTATTAAACATCACCTTTGGTTCTGTTCAAAAATGCACTATTTGAAGACTGGTTACTAAGACAGATGGATAAACATTTAGAAGTGTGTGTGTGTGTGTGTGTGTGTGTGTGTGTGTGTGTGTGTGTGTGTGTGTGTGTGCGTGTGCGTGTGCGTGTGCGTGTGTGTGTGTGTGTGTGTGTGTGTGTGTGTGTGTGTGTGATGAATGAATGTGAAGTCTCTGAGGTTTCCCAACGAAATCTTTTTACTCGCTAAAAAAGTCTCCATGTCTGCAACTATCTCCATATTTTCTGTTTGTAACTGAGTTTATTTATTTTGTGACAAAACAATTTATATTTTAACAAATCCTGTTTATTTACATGTTAGAGGAACAGGTAACATCGCTTACAGGAACAGGTAACATCGCTTACACTGTCTGACTTACTTCTTCCCGTCTCATGTTTTATTTAACACAGTGAATTTAGCAAAGTCACTGTAGTACGAGTCATTTAAACTTGAGAATCCCTTATTTGAATAGAATATTATGCATTTTGTCTCCCTGTTTAAATATGTTTAGCACCCATGATGAATTTGTTGAGTAATGCTGTTATTTGTGTGTTTGAACTATGTGTAACTTGAACTGTGGCTGTGAAGTGAATCAAGTCATCAATAAGACTAAAGGACTCCACAGATGAGTTTTAGATTATCCGGAAGTTTTTGGCTTTGCTGTGATTCAAGAACATGATTTGTGCAATTTCAAAAATCTGATATAGAACACATCAACACTTGAAATAGTAATCTTACTTGTATTTTCATACTTAGGTACTATATGCCACTTTAATTGTTTTAAATCCTGTTAATATAAATAAATGGTTGTTTCATTTGTGAATGGAAATGATTATCTGAAGTGGTCCTAGAAAGCACTTACCAACAAGTCTGACATCTCTGACCTGCTTTCCTGTGCAAATTAATAATGTAATGCAGGGCTATTCAATTCTGCGCCTCGAGGGCTGGTATCTAGCACTTTTGCTGTGTTCTTGCTGTGTTGAGTTTCAAATTCCATCTTTCAGTTCTTTTTCAAACAGAAAAGGTTTATTTACCTGCAACGTTTCGTTTGCGGCTGCAAACTTCCTCAGGCTGACGCCGATGGTGGCGTCACTTCCTTCGTTTATCCACTGGCAGCAGAGGACGTTGTCGCCCTCTGCTGCCCGCTCTCCGATGATGCAGTCCCATGCGCGGTCCAACGTGTAAACTGCATTGTCCCTGTTCATGGTCCCACATCCACGTCTCCTTATCTCGATTGCTTCTTTTATCCATCTTTTGTATTTCTGTTGTTCGGTGTTTATGATCCTTGTGTTGTCCCACTCCATTATATGCTCTTCTCTTGTGCAGTGATCTGTTACGGCTGACTTCTTTATTGTGCTTTCTGCTTCTTCTTTTGCTGCTCTTGTGTGTTTTCGACTTGCCTCTTTCTCGCACTCTTTTCTATGTTCTATTGTTCGTGTGTTGAGTTGGCGTCCAGTTTCTCCTATGTATGTTTTATTGCAGAGTTTGCATGGGATTTTGTAAATGACTCCACATTTAAGTCCAGCTGGTATAGGGCATGGGGCATTTCAACATGGCGGTGTCCGCGACACGGTTTATATGCAGGTAGCGGCGCTGCGGCTGCTTTATATAGCGACTCGTTGCATTCTCCCTCAACCCAAATCCTCGGATCATGCATTTTAGCTAAAACGCTAACGTTAGCTTGCCTTGCGTTGACTATAGAGTTGTGGGTGATGGTCACGCAGATGTGTCATGAGATTTGAAGCGTTGCTGCCTTTCACAGACACTTTTTCTGCACTTGCTGCAGACAGGATAGCCGTCTTCTATCTACTGTCCCTCGGCATTCTTCAAATATCCAAAAGATGCCCGTACTTCCCACTTTGTCTTCTTTGAGGGATAATAAATGTCCTGAGCGCTGCCGTCTCCTCCTTTGGCCATTATTTCAGCTTTAGCTTCAAGAAAGTTTTGGTTGTGAACAACAACACGCGCATGTGCCGCCGGCAACTTCAGCAGATCATACGGTGGCTGGTAAGGGTCACTGCGCGTACACCGCAGCCACGGTAAACCCACCAAGATAATATAGTTTTTTTAAAAACAAGATGGTTATTATTGTCAACTTTTTTACAGGGGTTTACCGCTGCTGCGGTTACCGTGGCAACCCTATATGCTGGTAAATAACCATGCTGGTCTGCTAGTTTTTCCAATATCCAGATTATGAATGAATGCCAAATAGATGCACTTGTCCTTTTCCTCGTTCGTCCAATAAACTCCAGCCCCACAGCGAGCGAGACAGTCACTTTGCTCCTCGTCATTAACCCCCACCCACCCACCAACACACACACACACACACACACACACACACAGAGAAAACACAGGGTTTGTAACTTCAGACAGTCATAGAGCTGTTTAGGTACACCAGCCAGTCAGTACAGAGGTAACTTAATATTCATGTCTTGGCCGAGTGGGTAAGGAAGACCAGTCTTTCCAGGGTAACCCTTTATTATGAGCTTGTGTTAGGCCATATATCAGAGCTCCTTGGCCATTGTGAACCCCAACAAACATTTATCCACTATTTAAAGGCTGAAAGAACATTTTCCAAATGCAAAAATAACTTCTTTCTATTACATCTTTAAGGCTTCATCACTAATGAGAGTGTGGCCTCAGAAGCCCCTGGTTGTGTTGTGAATAACGTGAGATGATATGAACACATACCTAGTTTTATTTTTCGTTCTGCTAAAATTACTCCTGTACATTTGATATTGCAGGTTATTTAAGCCAAATGGATGACAGTGAAACTCCATGCATGAACATGTTCTTGAGGAAAAAAAGAATATAGACCTGACCTTATGAAATGTGTATCACACCATATTTAATTCAAAAGTTTCAAATTTTATTATGTTATGCAGAAAAGTGATAGAATGTACTTGTTATGAAAGAGTCGTGACATTGTGCATAATATCTTGCAGAAACACGTTTTTTAATGACTGTCAGCAGCAAACATCCCATTTTAACTGAATATTAGCCTTTTTGACCTGGTTAATGTCGATTAGCATTAGCGGATATCTTGAACTGAGCTGAACACTTGCATTAAAATCTTTCCAGTGATTCATATTTAAAACACACACATTTGCACCAACACTGGAAAAATCATTATTGTCTTGATGACTGAGCTGGTTAGAAAATAAACAATTATTTGGGGTTTTGATGTAGAATTGAGAAAATGTTTATTACAATAACCTCAAAAAACAAGATAAGTTTGCACCAATTTTAGCTTTAGGCTAATTTTAATCTGTAACTCTTGGTTCTTAATCCTTCAAGCCCAGTCAGTACTCAGCATACAACTTCTTATAAGTCTTCCATCATCTGTTCCACTTCCTGTCCTAAATCAGACTGACAATGGCCCCTTTAATCCAAATTAGCACCACACCAGACACACACACACACACACACACACACACACACACACACACACACACACACACATATACTCAATCAACATTTGATGATGTCCATAATTTACTGGATTATCAAGGTTCTTGTGCCAATTTCAACCCTCCTTTTTAAAACTAAAGGTTGCATAATGTACATCCCTAAGAAATTGTTATCCACACCTTCATCTCCTCACACTTAGACCACTGCAACTCTCTTTTCACTTTTTTGAGGGAAACCTTCCTGAATAATCTACAGGTGGTTCAGAACGCCTGTGCTCGGCTTCTGACCACGTCCTACACACCCACGTCACCTTGCTTCTCTTTCAGCTTCATTGGTTGTCGGTTAACTTCAAAATAAATTTCAAGATCCCGGTTATGATCTTTAGGACCTTACATGGACAAGCACCATCTTACAGTGGTGATCTTCTCAGTCCCTACACCCCCAGCAGGTCCAGGGATTGCTTTTGCACATTTGGAGGAGGGTTTAGCGAAGCTAATAATTATTCTAGCTGTGTGGTTGATTGCTCGGACCATGCTAGGCTTGATAAAAGTTTTATTGGAATTTCCTTCTTAAAAGATTGCGGAATACAAAAGGGATGCTAGTGAGTGACCCGCTTTTTAAAACATTCATCTTCATGTATTTTGTTTTCACGTTCTGATTCAAATGTCTCCTCCCGCGATCATTATAATTACAATAATTGCAATAAATAAGTACACTGATGAATGAAGATGTACCCTGCTTTGCAGTTGCAGTGAGGATTTTTCCATTTTCTTTGGAAATCACCTACAGGTGATGAGAATAATGCTGGGAGCTCCTGCTATTAGCACAACCACCGCTTTCTGTTTTCCAAAAAAATCAGCCCAACTTTCCTTAAAAACAAAATAATTGTAGGCCTCCAGACTTATGAAAGCCTTTAATTTTTCATGAGTGAAGGGTCCAGGGCTTTCTGTTTAATAGGAATAAATATCTCGCAAGCAGATTTGTGGGAAAAACTGTGGTGAATCGGATCAACGTTTTCCATTATCTCAGAGCTCTTATGAGATTTAATAACTTTTATTTTGATTTTAAGCTTCCATCTAAACCTCCTCCTGTCCTTAAATGACAAAGTGTTTATATATTGGGGATTTTGTCTGCAAACTTCCTTGAAAGTGTATGTTGTGCATTGATAGCAGTGTGTTTTTGCCATACAACCACTCGGCCATGTGCACAAAGATGATAAAGATGTCATCAAACATCCTCCTACTGTCAGCCCCCCTACTGCTCCGAGCCAGGACAGCCGTCAGACAGTGATGGCTCAATTATGCATCATAGTGCCAAATCAGTTTTCTTATAATGTGATAGAGTTAAAAAAAACTAGGAGTCAGTCTATACCACTAGAGCAGGGGTGTCAAATATGCGGCCCACGGGCCGGATTCGGCCTGCAAGCGGGTTAAATCCGGCCCGCGAGATGGTTGTGTAAACTTTATTTTCATACTTTACAATGTAGTGAAAATAAACTTATCATTGTGAGCAAGTTTTCTCTGTAATGAGTATAAATAAAACAAAGCTGCGCTCAAGGCTCACACAAGAACTTGAATCCCATCCTGAAGTTGGCTGCCACTCAGGATGTGACTTCTGATATTGATGTGCTGGTGAAAGCTAAAAGATGTAAAGTAAAATGAGTCGAATATACTTTAAGTGCTGCATGAAACTGATCTTGCCATGTGATCTGTAAGCTCTTTGAATCACTAAGGAATGTTCTTTTAATTTGTTGATTTATTTATTTTTTTCAAATTTTCAAGTACACTTCAGGCGTTGTACTTGTACTACACTGTCCTCAGGCTCCAGCCTTGTTTTATATTGATTGTATTAAAACAAAGAAAACAATCTGAAGTTTTTTTTTATTTACCGGTCCGGCCCACTTGGGACTAGATTTCCCTCAGTGTGGCCCCTGAGCTAAAATGAGTTTGACACCCCTGCACTAGAGGGCAATTTTGTGTGCAAACTCAATTCAAATGGTGGTTCTTTATTCCTACCAGTGCCCTGTTGTGTCATTACTGATTTTTTGAACATCTATTATGTTCAATGCCTTATATATTTTGCGTTCAAAATTTAAACCATTCCTTTAGTAAACATTTTTTGTTTAGGTGGTATTTTATTTGTAGGTTATCTATATTGCATGTCAGAGTTTTTATAATTATTTCTAATTTATCATACTACTTGTTGTTTTTAGAATAAAAAGATATCAGGTTTCTTATTTGAATGGCAGTGAAACATCCTGCGATGTAAGCGGGGAGGTCCATTTAAAATCTGGCCTTGGGCACCTACTTGGTTGGCGCTGCGCCTGCAGCAGTGTTACAGGTTCATACCTTGAGAATCATCACAAGGTTCTGGAGCATGCGGTCATGAACGGTCTCTTCTTGAATGTCCACA